TGCTTATTCATTATCATGAGAACAGCACAAGAAAGACCACCTCTGTGATTCAATTACCTCCTGCTGTGTCCCTTCCGCTACATGTGCAAAGTGTAGGACTTACAATTCAACATGGGATTTGTGTGGGGACACAGCCAAACCATATCTTCCACCCCAGCCCCTCCCAAATCTCATATCCTCACAGTTTAAAATCAAATCATGCCTTCCCAACAGTTCCCTAAAGTCTTAATTCATTTCTTCATTAACTCAAAAGTCCACAGTCCAAAGTCTCATCTGAGACAAGGCAAGTCCTTTCCACTTATGAGCCTGTAAAATCAAAAGGAAGTTAGTTACTTCCTAGATACAATAGGAGTACAGTATTGGATAAATACAGCCTTTCCAAATGGGAGTAATTGGCCAAAACAAAGGGGTTATAGGACTCATGCAATTCCAAAATCTGGTGGGGCAGACAAATCTTAAAGCCCTAAAATGATCTCCTTTGACTCCATGTTTCACCTCCTGGTCACACTGACACAAGAGGCGGGTTCCCATGGTCTTGGGCAGCTCTACCCCTGTGGCTTTGCAGGGAACAGCCTCCCTCCTGGCTGTTTTCACAGGCTGGCATTGAGTGTCTTCAGCTTTTCCAGGCACACAGTGCAAGCTGTATGTGGATCTCTCATTCTTGGGTATGGAGTACAGTGGGCTTCCTCTCATAGCTCCACTAGGTGGTGACCCAGTAGGGACTCTGTGTGGGGGCTTCAACCCCACATTTCCCTTTTACAGTACCCTAGCAGAGGTTCTCCATGAGGGGCCCATCCCTGCAGCAAACTTCTGCCTGGACAGCCAGGCATTTCCATACATCCTCTGAAATCTAGACAGAGGTTTTCAAACCTCAATTCTTGACCTCTGTGCACTCACAGGCTCAACAGTATGTGGAAGCTGCAAAGGCTGGGGCTTGCACCCTCTGAAGCCATGGCCTGAGATCTACATTGGCCCCTTTCAGCCATGGCTGGAGCAGCTGAAGTCCCTAGACTGCAAACAGCATGGGGACCCTAGGCCTGGCCCAGGAAACCACTTTTGCCTCCTAGGCCTCCAGCCTATTCTGGGAGGGATTGCTGTGAAGATGTCTGACATGTCCTCGAGACATTTTCCCCATTGTCTTGAAGATTAACATTCACTCCTCATTACTTACACAAATCTCTGGAGCAAGCTTGAATTTCTCCCCAGAAAAAAAGATACTCTTTTCTATTGCATTGTCATGCTGTATATTTTTCAAACTTTTATGCTCTTCTTCCCTTATAAAATGGAATGCCTTTAATGGCACCCAAATCACATCTTGAATGCTTTGCTGCTTAGAAATTTATTCTGCCAGATACCCTAAATAATCTTTCTGAAGTTCAAAGTTCCACAAATCTCTAGGACAGGAGAAAAATGCTGCTAGTCTCTTTGCTAGAACATAACAAGAGTCACCTGTGCTTCAGTTCTCAGCAAGTTCCTTGTCTCCATCTGAGACCACCTCAGCCTGAACATTATTGTTCATTTCACCATCAGCATTTTTGTCAAAGCCATTCAACAGGTCTTTAGAAAGTTGCAAATTTCCCCACATTTCCCTGTTTTATTCTGAGCTCTCCAAACTCTTCCAACCTCTGCCTGTTACCCAGTTCTGAAGTTGCATCCACATATTTTGGTATCTTTTCAGTAATGCCCCACTCTACTATTGCCAATTTACTGTATTAGTCCATTTTCATAAACACATACCCAAGACCAGGAAGAAAAAACAGTTTAATAAATTTTGAGTTCCGCATGGCTGGGGAGGCCTCACAATCATAGTGGAAGGCAAGGAAGAACAAGTCACGTCTTACAGGGATGCTGACAGGCAAAGAGAGAGAAGTTTTGTAGGGGAACTCCTCTTTATAAAACCATCAGACATTGTGAGACTTATTCACTATCATAAGAACAGATGAGAAAGACCCTGCCCCATGATTCAATAACCTCCCACTGGGTCCCTTCCATGACACATGGGAATTGTGGGAGCTACAGTTCAGGATGAGATTTGGGTGGGAACACAGCCAAACCATATCAGGATATTATTAAGAAAAATAGGGTGGTAGATTTAGCTGGCCACATCTTTTCTAAGATTATTGTTTCCAGAATGTGTGTGTGTGTGTGTGTGTCCGGTGAGAGAGGGGAATGGGGAATTGCACTCAGACCAACAGGCATAAACTTTAAAGCAACTAGCACTGTATCTCACATATGGTAGGTGTTTCATATGTCATTGTAATTGAAGAAATGAGTTTGTATGTATAAAAAGTGAGCACTCTGCAGACACATTTTGCCCTAGATATGTTAGGGTTGATTATTAGAATCTTTAAAAATTTAAGAAGTAAACATTTTTGGACACTGATAGTGTTTGAATGTGCATCCCCTCCAAATCTCATGTTGAAATATAATTCCCAGTGTTGGAGGTGGGTCCTGGTGGGAAGTGTTTGAGTCACGGGGCAGATCCCTCTTGAATGGGTTGGTGCCCTTTTTGCAGTGCACTCACAGGAGAACTGGTTACTTATGAGCATTTGGCCCTCCCCTTTTCCCTCTCTTTTATTCCCTCTCCACCATGAGGACATGCCTGCTCCCCCTTTGTCTTCTGCCATAATTGTAAGCTTCCTGAGGCCATTAACAGAAGCAAATACTAAAGCCATGTTTGTAGAGCCTGCAAAACCTTGAGCCAATTTAATCTCTTTTCTTTGTATATTATCCAGCCTCAGGTATTCCTTTATAGCAACACAAATGGACTAACACAAATACTCTTGCATTTTGTTTAAATAGAAGTCCCTAGAGCAGGCAGGAGAGCTCCAAATGTGAAAAGGCTCTGTCTATTCCCATCTTTATATAATTAGAAGCAACCTAGATTCCATGTTAGTTTAATGCTCTGCAAAGTAAAATGGCAATGATGGAAGTATTTTCAACTAGGGTCATAACATGAACTCTTTTATTTAAAAAAGCAACTTTTAGCTTCAAGCCTTCAAAAAAAAATGAGGGCATGAAATATATTTAGTTGTCTTTATTCGTTATTTTAGTCCCAATTCTTAATTCTACTTAGTAACCACTTGGTAACTTTTAGTTTCTTAGAAATACACCAGAGTCAACAACTTCAAAGCTAAAATTCAACTTCCTGAGAAACGAATTTTGGAACAAGATCTTAATACTAATACAAAGGTAAATGTAACATACAATAGTTTCCTTTCATCCCTAGTGGATATGTTCTAAGATCCTTATTAAATACCTAGAGCCATAGATATTACTGAACCCTACATATGCTATGTTTTTTTCCCTTACATACTTACTTATGGTAAAGCTTAATTTATAAATTAGATGGCATAAGGGGTTGACAACAATAACTAATAAATTATTAAGTAAAATAAGGGTTACTTGAACACAAACCCGTGATAATGTGACAGTGGATCTGATAACCTAAGTGAGTAATGGGTAGGAAGCACATACAGGGTGGGTATCACTGGAAGAAGGGATGATTCATGCCCTGGACAGGGCAGAGTGGAACAGCCCTGATATATCACACCATGCAGAACAGTGCACAATTTAAACTTATGAGTCGTTTATTTCTGGAATTTTTATTTAATATTTTTGGATAGCAGTTGGCCATAGGCAACTAAGACTACAAAAAGAGAAACCATAGATAAGAGGGAACCATCATACAGGGAAATAGTATGGTGCATTTATTTTTGTCAATTTCCCATGGGATGGAAAAAAAAATCTGTGTATCTGAAATACACAAAATATGTTAAGGCTACTCTTTTTTCTCTCTCTCTCTTTTTTTTTTTTTTTTTTTTTTTTTTTTCCCCCACCTCCTTTCTGGCTCCAGCTTCTGTGGAAATGCCCTTCAAATTTAGAACTTGACAAAAGTCAAGTTTCTCTCTAGTATACGTGAATAATTGGTCACATGTTGCAGTCTCTCTCTGCTTACACTAGCTATGCCTAGAACCTTGCAGTGCTTAGGAAAGAATACAGAATTGTGTTGTGGTTCTATCGCATTATTTCTTGGTGAAAATTGACCCATGAGCTTAATTTCTCTCATCAGGAATTCATCCTTTCTCACTTCTTACAGAAAGAAAGCAATGGAGGAAATTATGAAATGAACTCTTGATGGTAACTGTAGAACAGGCACTATTTTAACTTAAATTTTATCCTACTTCTAATAATAATTCTTAGTGTTTTTCTAACATTCTATGGTTCATATGGTACCTTAATGTTTACTAAGATATATTTTGTGCTTGTTTATATAGGATTCTTAGAATGTTTGTGTGTTTCCATGGACACAGGGAGGGGAGCACTACACACTGGAGTCTGTTGGGGGGAAATGGGGGAGGGATGGGGGGTGGGGAGGTGGGGAGAGATAGCATGGGGAGAAATGCCAGATATAGGTGAAGGGGAGGAAGGCAGCAAATCACACTGCCATGTGTATACCTATGCAACAGTCTTGCATGTTCTTCACATGTACCCCAAAACCTAAAATTCAATAAAAAAAAGATGGGTTCAAACATAAACAAAAATAAAATAAAATAAAATAAAATACTATAAACTGGGGGGAAAAAAAGAATGTTTGTGTGTTTCTCGTGTTCACCTACATTAGTTTAAATCTTGACATGGCCCTCTTTTCTGATGATAACCTCAGTGCACATTTATTGGGTTTATGCCATAAATAAATTCTGCTAACATACACACATATACACACACAGATACAAAGGCTTAAGAAAGAACATATGAACATAATCTAAAATCCAATGACAAGGAGAGGACAAATGCATAGACACTAATAACACAAGGCAAAATGTGGCATAATGTGTGAAATAATTGATACAATAAAAATGCCAACAACATTCTCAGAAGAATAAAAATAATTACTAGCATTCTTGAGCATCTATTAGACACTAGATACTTTGCACTATATGTTTTGCTGGCCATTTACAATTATTCATTAAGATAAATGCCATATCTTTATTTTACAGATGAGATTTTTTTAAAAAAGAACTGAAGTTTGCGAGTGACCAAAGATAAAAATTAATAAATGGAAGACTTGGGACATAAAATCAAGTGTAAAGCCTAGATATTTGGTTATTTTAGAAAAGCTTCACAGGTGTCAGTGGAGCTGTGTTATTTGAGCTGAGCTGCACCTTGAAGAACAAACAAAATTATAAATGGGCAAGTAAGACAAAGTGCCTACACTCAAAGAGTTCTAAAACTTAGAAGAGTTACAGAAGAAAATATGTTGCATGGGATATCAACAGTAAAGGTCAAGATAGAAGCCAAAGAAACACAGAGGGAGGGGATTGATGAAATGCGAGAAGGAAGTGCTTTTAGAGGAAGTTGACATTTCATCTGAGTTATAAAAGGTATGTAGGTAGAGAAGAAAGGTAGGGGAAAGGGGTATAGAGCCACTTCTGACAGAGGAACTAGAAGGTACTGAGGCATTGAAATTCAGGATCACATAATCATCAGAAAATAGAGTGTGGTTCATAATGGCTGGAGCCTGGAACAGAGATGCCAATGTACAGAGTGTGGGGCTGAGCCAGAGAAATGGTGAGGGAGGATGCCTGTCCATGAAAAATGAGTCTTGTGCTTAGCAGTCAACTGGATCTCAAATGAAACTCTCTCCTTTGCTCTATTCACTGGAATTTTCTAACCTTTATCTATTTCCCCTTTAGGCATACACATGGAACTGAGTTACTACATATACATACTATCATTGTCATTTATTTTTAATATATTTATACTTGATTTAAACCAGAAACATTATTTCATGGGATGGAGCTTCTTAGGTGAATGAATCTTAATGAGAGAACTTGATCTTGTCTCCAGTTTTGCAGGATCTATAATGTGATTTGATCACCTTCTCCAGGGATGAGCAGGCCCTAGGGGACTCCCTCACACTAATGAAACTTATAAATCAACAAATTTGATGCCAGTTTTATTTTATTTGATGTTTATTTACAGCACAGGAATGCCTCTCCATTGGCCAGAATCTGTTATTGGGCAAAGGAAATGTCATTTAGTGAGCACCTACTCCATACAATAGTGGACACTTTACTCATATTATTTAAATTAGTTGTCACCATAACACAGTGATGTATTTCTTATCTTTAATAATACTTTCATTTTATAGATGAGAAATTCAAATGAGAACATTAAATAACCTCCCCTCATCTCAAAGCTACTAAGCTTTGAACTGAGGAATCAAACCTAAGATTCTTTAATGTCTACTTCATGCAATGGGCAAAGAACAATCATAGTGGCTGGAAAAAATGATGATGATGATGATGATGATGATGATGGTGGTGGTGGTGATAATGATGACATAATTAAGGTAGTTATAATTTATTGAATGCCTACTTGGTGCGAGTAACACATTGCATACCTTATCTTTTGTAACCATCAAAGAATTCTATTAGTTGGAAAACTATTTCCATTCTAGAAATGGGGAAACTAATGTTCAGAAACTTTAAATAGCTTTCCAATATCCAAACCTGGTTCAGTGGTGGGGCAGATGTTAAAACCATGTCTCTCTGACCACACAGAACTTTCACCACTAGCAGAGTAAAAGAAAACCTGATGAAAAGAATACCTGAGTATGAGAGTCACAGCGAAGAGAATATGTTAATTGAGAGACTATTCCGTCTAGGTTGTACGAAAGAACAGAAAACCACTGACATTCTCCCTGTGAGGACACTGATCATGCATCATTATAACTTGATGAGACAAACATTAACATTTTATACTGTCATTTTTCAGCTTTACTAATAATTCTTATCAGTCACAAAAAGCTTTGGTCACTATCTGTATTCATGATAGACCATATATGTTCTACTTTCAATATACGTGTCTCACCATTTAATGGGAGAGATTTTAGGTAAAAAAACACGTCTCAACCCTGAGCAAAATATTAATACTTTTAGATACTTTAAGAATCGTTCTTTACCAATTAGTAATATTTCTGATTACATCCCAATCAGTGAAGTTAGAGTTTAGCCTACAAAACCGATACATGTATGATAGTATTACAAACTTAAAATCTTGTAACTAGGTTAAAAAAAAAAAAAAAAACTTTAACAGACATTCCTTTCTAGTACCTAGACTAACACTCTTATCAAAATAGAGCTTTTTGTCATTTTTGTTCATTTTGTTTTTTACTATAAAGACACTCCTTGCAGAAGCAAGATTTGAACTGGATTTCTCTGAAGCTAGTACTCTTAATGCAAGTTTGAAGTAAACCTAGACCCTTGCTCAAGATCAATACATCTGAGAAATTTTATCTAACATTCCTTTTTTTCCCTTTAACCTAAACTCCTTGGAGAGAGGGTTGTTTTCTTTCTACTATAATCCAGTTATCTGGTATGAGATTTGGTAAAAATAAGCATGCTTTTTAAATGTTAGTTGAATAAATAAATATTTGGATGAATTTGCCAGCTTTAGATCTTGTTTCACTTTTACACTGCTTACATTTTGGAAAGATGTTCCAGATGACTCTTCTTATTCATTTTTATTCTTTTGCAGAAGTGTCTTTGGGGGCTGCTTATCAAGATTTCCTATGTGTGCCCTGTCTGACTTGAAGCTCTCCAGGCTCTGGTGAGTTTCCTCACCAGCCTAGGACACTTCCCTCCTTCTTCCTTCTCGCCATTAACTCTCATCACATTTGGAAATAGGGCTTCCAATCCCTCTTTTAATATACACAGTTTTTAACAGTGTTCTTTCTTAAACAGGAATAAATGGTTGGAATGTAGGCTATTTAGAGAATGTTTAAAACGAGTAAGAAGTAGCTGGAAGGTTGAGGAGAGGGCACTACAGTAATTGGGAAGAGTATGACTTATGAAACAGACAAACAAAAAAATGAATCACTTAAATGACGAAAAGCAAATCAGAAAAAAACAATCATGGGAACATTTTGGGTGGCTGGCTGAGGCAATACCGAAACTTCAAGTCACGAGAATGGGAAGTTAATTAGAAAACACTGCTCCTAGCGTGGTGAACCTAGCGTGTCTCCTGGAGGGAGGCTTTTCCCCAGCTGTCTCTCTGACTTTTCTGGGTGTCTACATTCTCACTTGTTAAATCAGCGGATGATATTAAAAGAGATATCAGATTTTTTTCCATTTCTAACATTTTATAGCAAGCTCTACGTTTCCAGCAGATTAAATTAATTCTTTTGTTTTAGGGAATAGACTTAATCTCATATAGTCTGGTCTTTATATGTTTTTCTTCATTATTTAACCCACATTTATTGAGTGACTGAGGTTTGAGCACTGTGTTAGGTAGTGTGCAGGGAAGATGAGTAAGATAAAAGCACTGTCATCTAATGCCTCATAGATGGGGGAACCACAGCGTTATTCATAGTGACATAGCAATATTGTCATAGTGACAGGAGCAGAGGAGATGGCTGGGACAAGGAGGTAAGGAGGTAGGGGTGGAGATGGAATGAAAAAGATAAGACCAAAAGAAAATATTTTATCATCTCCTAAAATACAATTAAAGTTGCCATTTTATCTTAAACAGTAAAAACTGGTTATGATTTTTGTTTTTACTCCTTTGGTTATAAATGTGTTGAGCTGTGGGTCAACTTGCAGCACTAAGGATGATAGTGCTGACTGGGATTATTTAAAAGGTTAATGAGGAATCCACTAGCCTTTCCATGGTTTCCAAAACAGAAGATAATGGACTCTTAGTTTTACTGATGTGGGTGCTACCTAGCCTGGACTATAAATTTGTGTTTACCACGTGACAGCTGCTTGGAGATCTGGGAAGCTGCTTGGTGATTCTTCATATAGCTTGTTGCTAACCTGAAAGTTTGAAATGCACAGAGTAGCAGTGAGAATAGAAGGGCCTAGAACTTCTTGGGAAATTTGAATGCTCTCTTGGGCCGTCCAGGTGGGCAGAATTTGTGAAACAGATAAGCAGAAAATAATAGTAAATGGTGTGGGCTAGTAATTAAATGGAAAGAGCATATTTCACCAGAATATCTTTAAATTCTTTTTTCTTTCCTCGATCCCTTCCCGCCCTGAATGCTGTGCCTAAAAGCACAGCACAGCCAGCTGTGAGTCTCAGTGTGAGAGCTATCATGGCCAAGACGCTTCTTTCCTACACTGTGGCTTTCGAGGCCTAATGCCTGATCAGTGCATGGCACACTGGAGCACTTCAGTAAGGAAACGTTGTTTCTGTTGCTGTTCCTTTGTTTTTATCATCCCTTGTCTAAAAACATGCTTAGGTAAGTAGTAAATATATTACTAGCATGGTATTGGGAAATAGTGCTGGATTTGGAACTAAAAATATATAATCATGTAAGGGATTTTCAAACATTTTTAAAATTAAAATAATGTATGAAGAATATAGAAATATGGAATACATGCAAAGTCCATATAGGAATGCATGCAGAAAAGAGCACATAAAGGCACAAACTGAACATGCCTACATTTAAGAAAAAAATCACAACATTATCAACATCATGGAAGCACCAGTCCACTTCATGCTCCACTCTAAGGATTATTTTTAATACGTCTTGGCAAAGAGTCTGCCTTCTAGAGTCACCAGTACAGTTACAGGTTATTTTATTTCTTCTCTCTTCCTGTGAAGAGAGACTGTGAAAAACACAATGGCAGGAACTGAGATTTTTTTTGTCCTTTGTATCCATGTATCTATGATACATGTAATGGCTCATAGTAAATATCTATAGAAATTTGTTGAGCTGCGGGTCAACTTGTGGTCTCTAGAGCCCAGACATCTAACGAAAAGCTGCAGAAAAAAGTCCCATTGCCAGGTTACATTTTATTCTAGACTCATCTACTAGATTTAGCTTTTTACATGTATGTCAGAAAAGAGGACTATTCTAAATATCTCTCTGAACATTAAAAGGCTAGAATCGAATGGTGATGATAGTGACATGGGTTAATTAGTGTTTTTCATACATTAGTTAATTCACGGCTGCTTCACTTTTCATACATTGGATAATTCACTTCAACGAACAATATTGAATATTTTTTGGAAATGTGTTTAGTAAAAATTCCCATTTATGTTTATTTAGGTGATTGATGAGCCTTAGGTAATCAAGTTACAACACCGAGGAAAAAGAAACAAAGAGAGAGACAAGTGCCAGTGAGGAAATTCAACTGATGTGTTTGCTGGTGTGCCACATGGCCATGGGAAAATGGGGCCATGATCAAAACTTGCTGGAAAGTAGCTGCTCATTGTTTTCCTGTCTTTCTTTACCTGAAGTATAGGGCAAATTTTGATAGGCATCTTTTTCCTTTGGAGACCATGTGTTTAGCTGCAGATTTGCCTCTGATCAGTTCTGATTATCCTTATGTGCCAGTCTTGTGTTCAGATGCTTCTGTGCACCAACTAAAAGAGATCATACACTGTACAATGTGGAGATTCAGTGAGCTGTGACACAGAGTGCAATACCCAATCTGGAAACATCTGTGGGAGTTTTAATGAGAAGAGAGCCACAGGGTAAGTGACTGACAGAAAAAAACAAAGAAAGTAGATGACTCATCTCTGAGCCAAAGACAGTAGGAGTACTCATGGAATTTCTCTGCTTTTAAACACTGTGGTTGGATTAAGTGTCTGAAATCATTCCCTGTATGACCTATATTATTGAAACCTTTTGTTCTGGTTTAAATTTCATAATTTATGGGTCTTTCTCAAGGGTAATTATCTTTGAATAGTATATTTCTGATATCTGAATCAGAAGAATCAGAGTAAAGCCATCCCTCAATGAAGGCTGATAGTGTGGGGATGATTTCAAGGACACCAGAAAAGCCTTCGCTTACATTTCTTTCGTATTAAAGTTCCTTGTTCCCAACACAAAGAATAACTTGTTTCATCAAAAGCAATCAACATCTTAAATTTTGTTTTAAAATATAAACCCTGATACAAAGATTAATAAGTAAATGTCTCCCAGAACTTCTTAGGAAACAAATGAAGGGTCTGGGGAAAGCCTGTGGGTGGGGAGGTGTATATCAGCATTTCTTGAGAATGCAGCTCACTGGGGACTTCCCTGATCCTGGATTCAGAAACTCTGGCAGCAAGCAGGACAAGGCAGGGATTTGAGCTGGATAGACAAGTAAAAAGGGAGATGAGGCTTCAGAAAGTGAAAGTGAATAGAGATCAGTTTTGGATTTTGTGTTGATGACTTGACCTCAGTTTCTTCATCTGTACAATTGAACCAATAACCCTTGTTCCAGGATTCTTTAACAATCATCAGAAAAGACTCTCTTTTCTTTGCCATACAAACTAATTATTTTTTTCTT